CCTTTCTAAGAGCTTTGTCCAGTCGAGTTTTCAAAGTTGCAAGTAACTGAGCTTCTCTCGTTTCCCCTGGGAAAGTATTCCTTACAAATACAATTCACTGTCAGGAAGTCATTCTGAAACTCTCCCTGATTTTTGCTTTTTTTGATGTCCTCCCACTAAATGGACTTTAACACAAAGAGTCTATTTAAAGTGCTACTTTTTTATTTTCCTGCGAAGGCTGCTGTGGTTTCTAGTTAATGTTTGTACAAGACTGTGAGCTCTCCAGTTTAAAGGAGAATCACTGTATTCCCTGTGGTTGTGCTGATACTTTCGCTCATTTCCTTGAGGATCTGGATGAGTTTCATGTGGCTGTATTAAATGAATATTAGCTATCAGGTTCCCTTCGCAAACATATATTCAAAATTGTGTGTTTTGCTGCTGAAAAGAGCAGGATATAAAAAACCTAGTCTAAATCTAGATTATGTTTGTGCAGAAGTTTTGGGTTTGTCTTGATTCTGTGAATGGTGTGTGGTGAACCCAAAGGCAGCGTGCACCAGTTTGTGTGTGTGTGTGTGGAGAAAGTAGCAGTCTGATTTCCCCATTGAAAATAATCAAAGTGGAAAAGCAAACAGCATGAATGCAAATTTTTGCTAAAAGAATAGAGCTTTAATGTCCTTGAACTGTGCTGCAGAAAAGAAACTTAGGAAAACACTTTTTACTTTGGTATAATTGCTTGCAAGCTGGGGCTGTCCCAGAGGGAGTTATTTTTAATGGTTAAATTATACAACACATTTTAAAATGGATTGTTTTGTATAATGTATTGTTGAACCTGTGAATCTCACTGACAGACCCAAATGTTTACCTTTGTAGAAATCAGTCAAAATGAAAACAGTCGTGTAAGAATAAACAGGGGGATTTTTCAGAAGCACAGATCATTAGTTAGTAAATTCAAGGGCAACTAAACGCCTCCTGGGATTTTTCTCCGTGTCATTGAAGGCATATTAAACAGGCTATAGCTTAACATACCGGGGCACTTACCAACAGCAAACAGACTCACGTTACTGGTTTTAACAAAAATTGACTGGCCTGATTCTTGTTTTACCACAGACTGCCTTTAAAGCAATCTTCTGTTTTATAAATGTCTACCATAGCTTTGATTTAGCACTGATTTTTTTGGTTAATAAATTTTTCAAGAAACGGTCAAAGTGCTGTAAGAGAATGAGTATTTCAGGCATTTCTTCCAGTTCTGTTCTGTGTGGTCAGTAAACCACATGGACTCCCAGAAGCTTGTTCTAGGTTCACTTGCTCATGTGCATTTCACTAAGTATCTTCATGTTTCTTAATTAGCTTGATTAATCAATCAGAAGTTGTGGTACAGAGCAAAATCTAAGCTGAATGGCAGGGTTTTGAGCAATGAGATGAGATTGGATTTGCATTTAACAAAACTGCTTGGTGCTTTAGTTGCCCATGAATATAACTGAGAGGTTAAAATTTGTCACAACTTGTAGCTCAAGCCATGTACACATGTAAGCTCCGCAGGCTCTTGGTGGTGTCACTGACCATCGCTGTACATGGGGGAAGCTGAGGCAGAAAGCAAATGCTGCCTGCCTGTGGCCACAGAGGAGTTGTGGGTCACACATCACTCAGGTCATTTATGCCTTTATCATCAGATCTGGCAGTGCTGCAGAGCTGCCCATTTGCTGAATCTCATTGTATCAACACTTAAAACAAGTGATTAAAGAAGTATTAGTGTCATCTATGTAGTATGGTTAGAGACTGTGGCCTAACCAGTTTTCTGTATTTCACCTAACCAGTGAAATACAGAACTTATTTATATCATTTCCATGCACTCCTGTTCTCTCTGTTTAATTTGTGTTCTACTCTCAAAGCCCTAGGAATATTGCAGACAGTCCAGGTGTCCTTAGCTGGACATTTACCTTATTCAGCTCTTTATTGGATATGTATTATATGTCCTTAGCAGTGGAAAATACAAGCTGAAGCCTCTCTTTCTCAGTTGAATAAAATGGTATAACAATTACCAGTGTCCTGATAAAGTATTTGAATAAAACTGTAGCCCATTTCTATTTCAAACACTCAGAGGAGTCATTATTTTACTTACAGACCACTTTTAAAGTTGAGCGCATGCTGTGTTGTGCTCTTTTTACGATGTATAAAGAAGTCTGCACTCCACTAGCTTTTCCTTTAGCCTTTTTTGCCTTGACTACTTCCATACGTGGAGAGTATTTTGCAGTCATCTGTGTCTGAGAGGGCAGCCGGCCTGGGAATGCATCTTCGTAATATCTCCATCACCAGCTCTGGGGCTTGTTCCACTGTCTGATGAATTCTGGCAAATTATTGCATCTAGGTCAAAATTATCTTGCAAAACCCCAAGAAATGTAATTTTTGGATCTGGTCTGTCTCATCAAGTAATTACATGAACATTGGAGCCAATGGAAAGGAAAGAGAAGACTTGGGAGCAAAAGTCAGGCTTTTAGGGGCAGCCCAATTGCATTGGCTTCAATTCCTCTCACCCCAACAAAGTGATGAGTTCATGAAAGTCCAGAACAGGAAAACTTGACAGTCAAGAGGTAAGAAAGGTTAGTGTCAGCCTGCGTTTGGATATACTCACTTTGTCTAAGAGAGCAGTAGCTGATACAGATTTTGGTCACTTGTCTCACATTAGATACTGTTGCTTGGATCAGCTACTCACATGAGGAGTGCATAACGTATTTTAGTGATCCTGAATTCTTGGTGGGGACCACTCTGCTGGAAAGGGCATGTAACTGGTTTGTGGATGAAACCTGTGCACAACTTCCCATTGTATTGCCAGCTGCTCAGGTCCTTCCCCAATCCCATTTTCATAAGTCTCTCCTATTACTTGTAGATGTGTCCAGAACTCCACTGTTCTTTTCAAAATTTAAAATTTCATTACCTAATTCAGCATTATCATAGGCAGTACAGAAGGACTCAAATTTGATGATTCTGATCAAAGCTGAAACACCAAGTTGATAGCATTGTCTTTTCTACAGATCTTCCATTTACTAATGTATGAGAATGGTCATCCTGAGGAATTAGCATCTGAATAAGCACGTGCTAATGAGCTGCTCTGGTCTGTGATAGAAATGGTTCTGGAAGGAGCCCTGCCTTTTGACTTGCAAGCAAATATACTAATATCTGAGCAGGCACTGGGGAATAAATTGCAATATTTGTTTTGTCTGTGTAATGTTATTTTTGTGCCGCAGTTTTTATTGAATATTGTTATGCTGAAAGGATATAATTGGAGGAATATATTATAGGGGAACAGCAATAATAACCATACTTAAATCTTTCACATTTTTATGAAGTCACTTTTTATTTTAATGCAGTTCATTGAGTGGTAAAAAGAGCTGGAAGTCTTGCAAGTAATGCAAAGAAATAAAACCTGTAAAATCTGGCACAGTGAAAGACTTTCAGTACAATATGAATGTTGATAGTTTAAAAATCACAAATCATCTTTCTATTAATTCACTGTAGAATAAGGTCTCCTCAAGATAAGACTCAGCAGTGTTGTGGAGTTGGTATTTAAAGTATGTCCATCTGCATCTAAACGAGTAGCTCCAAGACAATCAGATTATGCAGTAGTTACTTTGGTGAGAATATCGCCTAAGTGGAATGGAAACTTCATTTTGAGTCTAATATTAGACCCTGCTTTGGAAAATTCCTTTTAAATGATCACAAGCTGGGAATAGCAAAAGAATTTAACTTTCGACAGACAGCATTCACCAAGAATTTGTTTTTAACTGCTTATGTTGGGTCCCTGGGAAAGCAGATGTGAAAAACTTACCAAAGTGAATTGACTTGACCTGATGCAATGTTTATATCAGTAGTTGATAAGTTTTCCTCCCTTGTCTAATTTGTTCGGGATATTTTCATTCTTTAAGCGTGAGTAAGTCTGGGTTCAAATAGTTTGAATACTTGTTAGTCTAATAATCTGAATCTTAAAACATGCAGACATTATTGCCTATAAAGGGGGTGTAAGCGATGTTGGACTATTTTGGTTGTCTTCCGCAATTGGGGATAAGTATCATTTTTGATAACCAGCAAAGAAGAATGTGAGGCAACTTTGCTTAACTCCTGATAATTCAGAAAGCATATTGATGTCTGCTGTATTAGTACTTCAGAATGCCACTTGCATTTGGTGACCCTTTCAATGCATAATGCATGTTATTATTTATGCAGCTTTACAAAAGACTGGCTTTCAGTGGCAGTCAGGGAAATGGCAACCAAGGGTATCAAAGCCAGTTTGAAGGCTCATAATAATATTGTCATCATCATTATTCCTTGTGGCAGAAAGGAATTTAGGAATTCACTGTGAATGATGCACAGCTCAGGGATCTTCAGAGCCACTAGTATATCTCAGCTTTTCTCTTTGTTGATCAGACACTGTCACTTTGGATATTTTAGTTAATTAATTCCAAAATAAGTTGTCCTCCCTCCATATGGAGAATATATAAATAAATTATTTTTGAGGAAGGGAGGAGAAAAAGAGAAACTGATGAATTCAGCTGACCCCTCCTCCCCAGCTCAACCCTGTCCCCATGCTTCTGTGGTTTGGCCATTGTTGCTGTTGTTTCCAAGCTTGAGGAGAACATCTACAGGACCTCACTGCAAAGGAGTGCTCCAGCCTGGCCTTCCTCTGCCAGTGCATGAGACAAGAAGCGGAACAACTGTCAACAAGATAATATAATTAATTCATTGCAGGGTGACTGTTTTGCTGGGAAAGACATTAGAATGGGAACACTGATCTCTTTAGTTGTTCTCTTTTAGTGCACTGGGTGGATTTATGTGACCCAGGAATGTGTATCTCAGACAGAAACCAGATTATGATTTTAAGCATCTGTTAGACTTTGCACCTTTTTTCATAAAGCCTGACACCAGCCTTTTTGTCTTTTATTTATGCCTGTGTGTCTATAGTTCTGCTATAATTTCTGATCATTCAGGAATTTCTGAAATGTCTGAATTGCTGATCTGTCTCCTTGCAGGCAAGTCTCACCTGGCTATAGTACAAAGAGTAAACAATGAAGGAGAAGGGGATCCTTTTTATGAAGTTCTGGGAATTGTCACTTTAGAAGATGTGATTGAAGAGATCATCAAGTCTGAAATTCTGGACGAAACAGATCTATACAGTGAGTAGAAATATTTGCAATTTGTTTATGGATAAGAAGGAAGACTCCACCCAGCAGCAATTGTGTTTATAGCTGTGTTTTGAGAGATGTTATGTTGCTGATTTAAAATCCTAACAGTCAAATTGTTAAGAAAGTTTCCTTAACAAAATGACCTGCAGATCCCTCAAGTGGTTGAAGCAATTTTTGGTTTTACAGCATGGATACCTCACTCCTTTATGCTGTATTAATTCAGAAACAGGGCAAGTGTCTTTATTTGACCTTTTCATCAAGGAGGTTTGCATCTGCAACAATCTTTTCTCTCCTGCTACCTGTTCTCCACCACTGTGGCCTTGTTAAACCTTTCTGTTACAGTGCTCGCTTTCCCCTATCTTCTCTCTGTCTCAAGGGTCTGTAGTACAGGTACTACCATACGTTAGCAAGAAGGCAGGCAAATATCATGCCTCGAGGAAGAGGAAAGGAGTCTCTTTAGAATCTCTCTCTGTCATTCATTCCTTCCTTCCTTGTGTTAACATATATTGAGGTCAACCATTACCTGGGACTTGAGAGATCTGGACCCCTTTCTTTCCCAGATTAGAGTTTATCTGGTCTTTGACCAGTTATCTGAAGTGTCTTTGCTTCTCTTCCCATCTGCACAATCTGGCCTGTGCATACAGGACTTCCTTTCTGTCATTCTTCATCTGTCTTATCTGTATTTTGATCACTTGCTGGCAGATGCTATTTTTTACTATGTGTTTGCATGCAGCACAAGGATGTCTTTAGATCCTATTATAGTAGAAATAATAATTTTAAGTATCTTTAACACTCTCCAGCTGTCCTTTGCTTTCTTCTTCTTTCCTCATGAAAGGGATCGGAATGTTTCTACAGCATCTTTTCCAGGCCAATGCAAGCATCTTCTGTCTTCCCTCCAAGCCAAATTCCTGATGAGCACTTTACACTCAGGGGTAGACATACTTCTGCTTGGTTTTGCCTGAACTGCTTTCTGTAGCTGGTCAGTGTTTTACCAGTACTTATGTGCCCAAAGGTTCATGTAAATCACAGTTGTGTTTTGCGATATGCTGAATAGTCTAATCAGTATACAAATCACAGAGGTCCAGTTAGTATTGATTTCTTTTCATACCTTCGCAAATGAATTGTTGGGGTAATCAGTTATAGCATAATGCTTTCACAGGCTGAATTCAGACTTTCTTTTATACTCCAAAAAGATCCAATCTTTGTCTACCTTTGAGGTGTTTTCGTGTTTCTGTGAGTGAAGACACCGCATATGGTTTTCAATGTTCCCCCCCCCTCCATGTTTGTTAAGAGAAAACACATAGATTATGCCATGTTGTTCTTTGGGACAAAAAAAGCTTTTTCCATTAATAGCATGTTAGAGAGCAAGGAAATGGGAATTTAATTTTGCTATCTGAAGGCTTCCTAGATTAACAAAATAGAGTTGGTGAACATTGAGTTCACTTGAAACTCTCCTTCTTGGGAAGGTTTTACTATTGAAAATTCCTGGTTCAGAATAGGAAGGAAACTTTCTAGGCTTCCTGGAGGATGCACAAAATTTTGAGGGGTGAATCCTGCTATGTACTGTGGAGGTGAACTCCTAATTTCTTTATGAAGTACTGAAGTTCATTCCACTGCTTAGATTGAAAGAAACTGTAACGGTAAAGGAGAGAACAGAAATCCCTAGAAGCTGTGAGGATCACAGAAAGTGTAACAGATTTTGGATTTGGGCAGATTGAGGTGCTGTAACCACCTCCAGTTGGTGTAGTGATGGGAACAATGGAAACATACTTTGGGTTCACTGAAGGTACTTTATTGTCCATGATCTGTTAAGTCAGCTCATTTTTGGTGTTGATATCAGAGTGTCAGGGCTAGTAACCCCATCTCTGATTCTGTTCATTATTAGATCAAGCCGCCTTGCTCAGCTCAGATCAAGCCAAGTTGAAACTCTTGGACTGATTTGCCCTGTACTAGGTGTTTACTTAGAATTAAACATTATGAAAAATTTTGGCAGTGCTGTTACAGTTTGTTCTGAAGTTTTAGAAATGTTTTGTTTTGCTTTGATGGAAACTTGAAATTTGATAAAATGGCTGACCTTGGTGTTGGAGCCGTGCCTTTCTGTTGTTTCCATGAAAACCTGTTTGAACTGCATTAGAGTAGAAGCAATAGTGTATTAACAGTTTTTGCTGAAAGCTGCTCTCATTGCTGAGGCTCTGCAGCTGAATTTCTGGAGGTTGCTTGCCACATAAATGTATTTCTTCAGATGGCTCTGTTCTGCCACATCTTATGGCTTGTAGAGATGTTGAGAGCAGGCAGAAGACGGGAACACAAAAAAGTATTAAATATGTCTGACCCATGAGCATCTGGGTAGACTGAGTACTTCTGAGCATGAGACTTGGTATAGGGAATGCTGAAGGGGGTGGAGAGAAGAGGTTTCTGTCATGACACAGGTGGGTGTCTCTGACTGTGTCTCACCCAGTGTCATGAAGAGTGGTCTATGTGTTTGGCTCTTAGTATTGGAAAGTTTGAACATTTCTTTCATGGTTGACACACTACAGGAATCTGTCCTGCACTCCCATGGCTCTAGTCATGGTAAGAGAGCATTTCGCAACCTTCTCAGAGGCCCAGTAGAGAAAGCTTTGTGTTCTGTGTTGGCCTCAGACTGCATAGATTGCAGTTCACCCTTCTGATCCAGGTTTGACTGATGACCTGTCTCATTTAGCTCTTTCTGCTTGAAGGCAAGTTTAATCATCACCTTAGTGCAACTGGAATCCTGCTGTTTTTCATGCATACAGATTCAGAGATGGCTTGCCTCAAGTAAAATCTGGGATTTTTCTGCAGCTGAAATATCCTAACGCACCCTTGTGCATGTGTTCTGCATTTTGTGGATGAAGAGGCTGGTTGTAAGCATCATCTTACAGAATCTGTACATCCCCACCCCTGTGCTGTTCAGCTGTGTGTCTCGGCAAGCAGGACTCCCGGCCAGCCCGTGCTGCAGGGACATTCTGTGCCAGGCCGGGGTCCATCTTTTGGCAGCTGCAGCAGTGCAGCTCTCTATAGCTTTCACCTAATGCATTTTTTTTAGCCTTGGGAAGTTGCTTCTCTGAGGGGAGGACCCCATCTTACCGAACATTCCTGTTTCCAAACAGCTGTTGAAATAGGTAGGTTAAATATATGCAATCATAGAATGATTGGGGTTGAAAGGAGCCTTAAAGATCATCTCATTCCAACCCCCCTGCCATGGAGAGGGACTGAGGGGCTCAGGGCCCCATCCAGCCTGGTCTTCCAGGAATGAGGCGTCCACAACCTCTCTGGGCAACCTGTTCCAGTGCCTCAACACCCTCAGAGGGAAGAATTTCTTCCAAATGTTTAATCTGAGCTTACCTACCTTCAGCTTAAAGCCATTCACACATGTCCTATCACTACATGCCCTTGTGAAAAGTCCTTCTTCAACTTTCTTGTAAGCTCCCTTTAGGTATTGGAAGGTGCTATAAGGTCTCCCCCGAACCTTCTCTTCTCCAGGTTGAACAGCCCCAGCTCTCTCAGCCTGAATTAATAGGAGAGGTGCTTCAGCCCTGTGATCATCTTGGTGGCCTCCTCTGGGCTTGGTCCAACAGGTTGATGCCTTTCTTGTGTTGGGGGCCCCAGAGTTGAACACAGTGCTCCAAGTAGGATCTCACAAGAGCAGAATCGAGGGGAGAGAATCACCTCCCTGAACCTGTTCATCACACTTCTTTTGATATGTGTATCACTTCTCCCATTTAAACTGTGGAGCTACAGGAATAAAAATTGTTTGCCCTATTATTTCCACTATCATCCAGTGGAAGTGTAGCAATGTAGAAAAGGTTGTGCAACACCAATTTGTCTGGCAAGACCTACAAATACTAGCTTGGTGTACACCAGTATCCTACGTCAGGAGAACAGAGCTTTGCATAGCTGGAATCTAATCTTTCGATACACCAAGGTGATGGACACCAGTTAGAAAATAATGCTTTTACCATTAGGACTATGGACTTGCTAACCTTCTGCTGCCTAGCACCCGTAGGCTGAAGGAGCTGCATCCTTATGGGAAACAATGTTAGGCTGTTAAAGTGCTTCAGGTTTTGTCCCACTGACTTTCTTTCAGTTGCTTAAATAGGAGTGATACACAGGGAAACTTGACTTTCCCAGCTAGGGACAAAAAGAACTGACAAAACTAACTTAGTTAATTCCTAAACCTTTCTTTTAAAATGAAACAATCTCACAGGCTTAAAAAGCCCTGTGCAGTGTGTGGGGCGTAGGCTGTCAATCTGAGTGTGAACATCACTGGGAGCATGAGGGAGAGGAGGACATGAGGTGTGCAGAGTGAGACTCTGACCTCTACCTCTGACTGCCTGCACTAGGCATCCTGGTACTGACTATGGATAAGTCTAGTCCTCTGGGAACTGTACCTTGTTTTCCTGGAGTATCTGATAAATGTCCATCTCAAGCAGTTGCTTGTCTCTGTCCTTATACAGTTCTTGTGTGCTGGACAGAACCACACGTCCATTTGATAAAATATTTTTGTCCTCTTTGGCTTGTCTGGATCTCACTGCAGATATATCCTCTGTCCTAAAGACAAAGAGCCCAGGAGGAGAATAGGAACTTTCCTAGAACATTGCCTCAGTGCATTTGCAGGACCTGTCAACCTGCAGCCTGCCTGCCCATCCAACTGAATTGGTGATCTGAGGATTGAACTCCCTGTTCTGTAGCTGGCTCCTTCAGGGAAGTCTATGCAATAATTTTTCATGTTATGCATCAGGCCTCGAAGTTCAGGAATATTACAAGAGAGATCACAGTCTTAATTGTATTTGGATCACTCCTCTTGAGTTCTCTCACTCATCAGAAGCTCTTGTTGCCTTTGATTTGAAGGAAAAGTCTAAGTATTCCCAGAAATTACTGAAGATGGTTGCAATATGTATTGATATCTCACTGAAAGTTATAGTGAGAGTATCTCTCATGCATTGAGCTGTTCATGTTGCAGAACCAAACAGCGTCACAGCACTCTGTAAGCAGAGATCACTTCAACGTGCCAAGATAACTTCAGTGCCTGTGTCTCCATCTCACTTACTGTAGAAGGGACAGGCAGGAAATACCTGGTCCATATTCAGTTACATCTGTCACAATCCAATCCCTGGTTCCTATGTCTTACAAGAAGCTCAAAAGTTGTTTGGATAGCGAAGAACAATTTAAGACCATCCCTTGCAAAAATAAGCCAAGATAGTGGCTTTAAGCCATGTGGCTCTGCTCTCACTGTGTAACATTTTTCTTGAGGGAAGATTTCTGGATAAGCTCCCAAGGAAAAAGTAGGAGGAGTTGAAATCATCCATTGTTTGATTTAGAGCCTGAGTCTCTTACCTTGATGACTGATACAGACAGACAGATTTAAGGCATTTCCCCATGTGTGATGCTGGCCGTGTTTTCAGGTACCAGAAATGCAGTGTGAAGCCTGCAGGGGTACAGCTTATCCACAGGAGATGCACAGAGATGTTTCCCTGTCCCAGGACCTAAACTTGTACTTGTGGTGATTTTTACCTCCCTGAATAGAGCAATGATGGAGCTCCTTGTGATGAAAGCCTCTCAGGTACAGCACTTCAAAAATAACATTCTCTGAGCTTTTCAGAAAAAGCACAGTTTCTATTCTTCTTACCTCTTACAAGAGGTAGGGCCTAGTGAAAGCTTCTAGGGGACTTTTCTCCTCTTCACTTTCTATTGCTTTGGTATCCATCTTTCCTGTAACTTCAAGTACAGATAAGTTCTGTCTCAGACTATATTTCTAAGGCAGGGATTGTTTTTAGTCTGTAGCCACTCCCTTTAGTGGTTTCTATTCCTGCTTTTGGAAGAGAAGGTGTGGTCCTTGCTGTAGCCAAAGTCCTGGATAAAGTACTATTAGGGTAAGAGGCTTCTGGTTTCAAAAAAAGAAAGAGGGTATGGGTCATCATCGTTCCTCTCCATGCGCTTGGGAGCAAGTATCAAATTTTCTGATTTGCACTCTCACAGAATAAGCTCAGGGTATCCAAACTTGGTAAGTTACTATCAGTATGGTATTGCTGTTTAGTCTGTGATAGTCCTGTAGTACAGGCTTGTCCATGGGAAGTTGAGGATCTAAATGTATTCATATCTAAAAGACTAGGTGACTTGGGAAAATCTGGAGACGTGTAAATTACCGGTAATGTGCATTTCCAGTCCTCAAACTCCACCACTCTGAGATTTATGTAGTCTGTAGAATATATTTGGACATGTAAAGGACTTCAGATCTCAGGGGCTTCCTTGCTACAGTGTATCACTTTAATCATCTTTGCATGTATAACCCAAAATCTGGCAACATGTACCTGGTAGTATATGCAAAGTTTCAGTCTCAACTTCACCTACACCTCTTTATGTGCTTACCCAAATTGTCTGCCATGAATCAATGTACCAGAATTACCTATAGTCCCTGAAAAGTACAGTCATTTTAAACCAATTGACTAAGGGTCTGATAGACAAGTAGCTGTAGTGGTCTCAGGATTTTTCCTTGCTAAGGCCCTAGAACCTGAGCCGTGCCTCAGCTCTGAGGGGCTCACAGGAATTGCCTCAACACTTGGATTTCCTGCACTATACAGTGGAGCTCAGAGCTGTCTGACGCTATTCTGCTGCTTATAGACACTACCACCATATCAGCAGAGAAGAGCAAGACCCTACCGTCTAAGCAGAGACCTCTTCTCCCTGGAATTGATGTATACCATACTCCAACATACCTGTAGCTCTCTGCTTACCTGGTTTCTTAAACATTTTGGCAGATTAGCTCAGTGGATGGATGACAATTGCTGGGTTGTTTGTGTCTCTTTCAATGTTTTTCACAAATGGGGATTCCCCACCACAGAGCCTCTTTTAAGACACAGATGAATTAAGTCTCCCACCTCCTGGCTGTACACTTTGCCAGCCTTTGCTGATGTTTGGACAGGACAAAAGAAACTGCATATTCTAGACATTGGGAATTACTTCAACCAAAGGCACGTGGATTTTGCCGCAGTTGTGAAGAGTCAATGAAGCTGTGGTACAGCATAAGAAATAAGTTATTTCATATTTCCTCTGTGTACTTGCTGGGAATTTTCTAGGGAACATATTTGGAAAAAGCAGCTATCACAGCTATTTTTGCAAAACACCACCTTTAGATCTTTAGTAACACTGAGCAGGACTCCTCTTCTCCACCTGGAAATGGACACACACTTCACATGTAACTTGCAGAGCCGCTCTGCAATCAGGTGTCTGCAAGCAGAGACTTTTCCCCATTGAGGTGACAGAGGCTGTGGATGATGGGCTCTGCAGGACAGGGCCCCACAGCTTCACAGCTCACTGGTTGTTTCTGGTTTGTGGTGCGTGCTGATGAGCAGGGCTTTGCAGAGGGGTCTGCCAGCACCCTGTGCTCTGGGTGGCCATCCTGGCTGACTCCAAGCAGTGCAGTTCCTATTGGACCCCATTCTAACAGAAATCGCTTCCTTCCTTTCTTTTCCCACCCTCCCTTCCCCAGCTGATAACAAGACGAAAAAGAAAGTAGCTCATCGGGACAGGAAGCAGGACTTCTCTGCCTTCAAGCAGACAGACAGCGAGATGAAGGTTAAAATATCACCACAGCTCCTCCTGGCAATGCACCGGTTCCTGGCAACAGGCAAGTGAGGGTTATCTTTTTTTGCAATCGTGCCAGAGCCTCGGAGGCAGTTTGTCAGCAAAGGCCGGTGAGGTGGGTGGGACAGTATAGGCGGGAAGGGAGGCTGGATTGTGGGGTGACAAATAATGCCACTGTTGTGTTTTTCTTTTTAAATTCTCTCCTCTCCTGTGTTCAGTGTCGGCATGAACCCTCTGAGACATATACCAGGGGTGGACCAGTAACTTTAAATTGGTCTGAAAGGTAAGGATGAATGCCAAGTGCCGCACTGCATGTCTAGAGTCCGTCAGATTAACGACTAGCAAGTACACCCCATTAGGAAGAGCTCAGGGAACAAACCAAAGAGGACTCGATACCACTGGCCAGCTGACTGTAATTGCACTCTGGCGCCTTCTCCAGAAAGAGATGGTGGACTTTTTGCAGGAAGGTCTAAACCTGTTCCATGAGACTTTTTGACTCCAAGTGAAAAACTCTCCTGACACATTTAATGCAGACTGCACAGATGGTTGAACTGTACTCTTTAAAATGGATTTCTGTCTGGCTTGTGTGACCTCCGTTGATGACTTCAGGTTTCAGAGGACAGTTGTCTCCATCCCAGAACACCTTGATGTTTTAGCCCTTGGGTGGGCTAAAACAGGCAGAGGCCAGGGCCTTGAATGATTTCTTGCAGCTGATATTGCCTTTCGTCATAAAGTTGGTCCCTTCACCTCAGAGATGAGACCTTTTAACAGGAGAGCTTGTGGAAAAATACCTTCCTATTGCTCATGCTGTCTCTCTTTGACATATAAAGACTTCTCACACGCAGGCCTTTCAGACGGGCGTCTTTCGCTGTTATGTTCAACGTATATTCATGGGTGGAAAATTATAAAGTTGTTTTGTTTCAAGTTTGTCAGCTCCAGTTGGAAATTAGTACTTCCCCTCCTCTAAGATGCAGTAACTGCCTGCCTAGATGCTCCTAGTCTACCTTCATGCTTTATTTTGCCTCTGTGACTTGAAAGAAAAATGTACATGATCGGTTATCACATCTCAGCTGAGGGGCAGTAATTCCTTAAAAGGCTCGGACTCCTACGGCTCATGTGCATGTGAGCATGTCCTCTTGAAAGGAAGCAGTTCAACAGGAAGATGCGGATTTAACAGCAAGCAAGGCACTGTTCATGTAGTATACAAGACTTGATGGAGTTCCCTAAGCACCTGCTCAACAGACATACTCTTACAGTGCTGCTTCTCTACTTATTTTGTGGATGAAAGGATTGTGTATCTTAAATCCAGATCTGTCTGTAAAGCCACTGCTAAATAAGATGAAAGATACAGTTTTGGTTTCTCTGTTCTAAATCGAGAACAGTATCTTTAGGAGGTGACAGATACTGGGTCATAACGGTCCTTTTTCTGAAATGAGGTGTTGGGAAAGCTTATCAATTTGCATGTGTAAACCTCGTCATCCCTGGCTTCACTCTACCACACAAGGATGAGCTTTTCTGCTTCAAACAGCTCCTGTTGGGAACACTGAAGATCAAGTAGATAGAGAATGTGTTCTGTGTGTCAGGAATTAATCCCACGTGGTTTGAACTGACCTGCACTATCTCTCACTTTGAGTAACTCTTCCCATATGAACCGTGGCAGCCCCAATTGTGTCTGATTTATGTAGAACATCTATCTAGAGCAACTTTCTAGGTCCCAAGCAGTGGTACATTTTTATTGTTTTTTAATTTTTATTTAAGTGCAATAAATGCTGTTACTTTAATAACTTTTAGGAAGGAAAAAACCAAATTCAGAGGTTCTCTGTGCCCCAATTGTAAAGCTCTTCCATTTTTACAACTCTGCAATGAGCCATTACAACTGTGACTCTGAACTCTCAAGAAGGCAAAGCTGTCTTTTTCTTTTCCCTTTCAGATGAAGACATGGTTTTTGGTTGTTTTGAAAAATGCTTCAGTAATGAAAGTTGAGATGTTACTGTGGGTTTCCCCCCCCCTTACAAATCTAACAGTCTCAAAAGACAGGAAGCCTGCAATTCCATAATGGATCTCTCTGCATCTGTGTGTCTTTTAGAGGCAAATGCTTATTAACGAGTATTGCTAACTTCATGCCAGGCATATGAGGTGTAATGCCACATTGTATCTTGTGTTATAGAAGTAGAAGCGTTTGGTCCATCCCAGATGTCAGAGAAGATCCTTCTCAGGCTGCTAAAACATCCCAACGTCATCCAGGAGCTGAAATACGATGAGAAGAACAAGAAAGCCCCAGAACACTACCTCTACCAGCGAAACAAGCCCGTCGACTACTTTGTTCTCATTTTACAGGTCAGACATGTGATTATGTAGATACTTGCAAAACCCTTTATCTCCTGACTTATCCCTCTCTTGGGAACCTCTTCCAGTTGTTGAAGTTTGGCTTCTTTCAAACATGGGAAGGGAACTATGGCTGCTGGGAACTGCTCCTGCCTCCTTTATGCCAACCTTGAAGAGCTCATGCAGCTGCTTTCAGCCTCAGTTAAACCAGTTGTGAAGGATAGAAAGCACTTACCACTTCCAGTCATCTGTTGAAAATTACTTATGCTTTTGGTATCAGTAGGATAGACAATGCAAAGGCATCCCTGCGTGCAGCTGGCATTGTTTGGAGAATAGGGTTGCGAAAAATGGCACATCATAGGACTTTGGCCAGGATGTTTTCTCTGCTGTGCTTTTTCCCTTTTGCAAAAGGGGGCATTGGGAGTTTGACTGTTTAGAGAAATGACATTTTTCTGTGCAATTTTGAAGTCTGTACCTGAGGTGTTGCGAGAAGTGCAGGTTTTGGTGGGGGCCTTGTTCCATCTACGGAACTGATGCCACCTCCTGCCACAGCCCCTGCATTCCCTGGGTGCTCTCAGTCCCTGGGAACCTTGGCATCCAAGCCCTTGCCCTACCCTGAGGTCCCTGCACTTGTGTGGTTCTTAGACTGGAGCCCTAGGTGGTGTGGAAGGACTGTTTTCTACGTATTCTGTGCAGGATTGCTGTACAGGTTTTGATACCTGTCAGGAATGTTGAATAGCTTAAGTAAAGCTTTACACAGAAACTTCCATCTAGCACCATTTGAACAGGAATAGTCCTTCAAGAGAGATTGTGCTGGTAAGGTGCTTATGTTTCTGTCCTACATAACTGAAAATCAGTTTTGGTTATAAAAGCACAAGCATTGTAGCTAAAGTTTTAACACAGGGCTTGAAAGCTTAACATGACCTTAAAAAGAGAAAGTTGTGGAGAGTTAAACACTGTCAATGATAAACAGTTAAGAAAGCATCAGAATATTATATTGTGGATTCAGTGTAATTCTCTTTTTTAAAAGGATCAGTTTTTTCAAGAGTTTGAGGAGCCACTGTAACTCTTTAACTGCTCTTTCTTCTGGGCTGAATTGTTGCAATCTGAAATATTCCAGAGGCAAGATAATGCTCCTGATGTAATGCTGCAAAGATGTAAATGGAGGACATGGGCAATACAAAAAGAACAATCAGTTCTTTCTGAGCTATTCTACGGTCAATAAATATTTAGCAAACACAGTGTGCCAGGTCTATAATGCATTTGGAAAAGGGAGTGTTGCAGGAGGTACATACTATAAAAATGGTAACGAGGTTGGTTCTGCCAGGATCAAGAGGGGATAAATACTCTGCTTTTGTTACTTAAACAGACTTGTTCTCTCACATTAAGGGACCAAGAATGCCTTTACAGTAAATGCATGCCAGTACACAATTAAATGCATATTCTTCTTGTGTGTAACCGGTCTTTACCTGGGTCTCTAAATCGTACCTTCTGGAAGGTTTATAATGAAGAAATAAGCTACTTATTTGTGTTGTGGAGTGAAATTGGTTTTAAAAGGGATTATATGAAGTTGTTGCTTGTGATAGCAGGAAAGTGGATTTGTGAGCTGGGTACTCTCTTCCTGCTAGGCAGATTTTGTGGGTTTTCTCATCTGGGACAGTTAGACAAATGGACTTGGTATCAGGGTTCATGCACGTTGAGTTCATTGTCACCTCTTTCTGCCCCAGTCCAGTATTGTAAATTTAAAGGCATGATTATTTATTCTAAATTCAGCTTAATGAAATAAACATAGAAATAAATTCTACCTTTTAGACTCTTTTTGACCTGATTGTGTCCGGATGATGTTCAGTCTTCTTAGTACACCTGGGATGGGCAGTCTGTCTGCCCTTTCCAGCTTAAACAGAGGGAAAGCATTGCAGGTAATTATGTTGTTTGCCTGAAATTCCAACTTTTTTGTAGTTCAGCCTGAAAGCTTCATGAGATTTTTTCTGTCTGCAGTGATGTGCTGTGAGTCTCAGTACTAGCAAGGATGGGTGGATGTGGAAACCAGACCCCACTAAGAAGCCAGTTATTTCTGGCTACTTGTATACCAGAGTAACTGGCACATTTACAGCTATGTTTGACATGGTGGGTTCTGTTCTGGAGTCCTATGTAGGACATGATAAACATTTGGTTTAGCCTACAACAGAAACAGGTGCCGTTTGCATGGTAGTGTAGTTTTGTACAGTTTGGGAAGCACTGAGGGTCCTTTGTAGGTAAGACTCTGTGAAAGAGCAGGATCTGAAGTTAAGGGTGTTGAAATATGGAAAACTGCTAGAAACCAAGAAAACCAAAGTAGCCCCAGGGCTACTCCTCCAGGAATAAGGACGTTGTTCCTGTGGGAATCGCAGACAGCCTCCTTGCATGTTGTCTCCCATCTCCCTTTCCTATGTTTGTGTTAGAGGGGACTTCGTGTGAATGTGAGTTGTGGCCCAGAATTGTCTCTGTGTCTCAAGATCCCAGATGACTGTGCTACATGTAAGCTTGCTGTGCTACTGGAGGAGTATTTTTTCACTCTGCATCAAGGGAAAGCAGCCTGACAGCACTTGGAGCAGGGCAGTAGTACCAACCCGAAGCTGTATGGTGATCCTTTCCTCTGCAGAGACTTACGCTGGCTGCAGGGCACCAAAGACCAGGGTAGCTCAGGGCACAAAAACCTGTTGCCCTTCAGGGTCTGTCCCTGTTCAGGCACCATTATAAACTGAAGGGACCATGACACTGCTTAGGGATGTCAGACAAAAGTGTCTTTCAGGGCTCAAGTCTGGTCTTGTGCCTTGAGACCTGTGGTCCCTTTTAATTGCAGCTCTCTCTCCTTTTCCTTAACAGGGGAAAGTGGAAGTGGAGGCTGGGAAAGAGGGGATGAAGTTTGAAGCTGGTGCTTTTTCCTACTATGGGGTGATGGCCCTCACAGCATCACCAGGTATGTCCTCTTACCTTTTGCTTCTGGAACTCACTCCTGCACAATCCTGCCCCGCCGTGTCCAAGGGGCTGATGCGAAAGGTGCCTCCTTGCCAGCAAAGCTGCCTGCCTGGCACAGTGTCCCTGGTGGAACCCAGCAGCTGGCAGCGGCTTGCCAGCTCCTGGAGGATGTGAGTTTTGGCCTTTGCGAGGGATGTGGTTGGTACTGGTGGAAAGCTTTGTAGGGTAACAGAGTGAATTAACAAGAATAAGTAATTAGTGGCAGAGGGACATCTAGTGGTGCTAGGAACAACAGCCTGGTTAATCTGGGGATGGTTCTCTTTACCGGTCTTGTTTCTAAAGCTCTCTTGAGGAAAAGGAGGGCAGCAGTGCCAGAAAAACGATGACTCCTGTCAGCCTGTGTGGAAATGTAACCAAGAAATCAGTGAGGGAGAAGAGGTGATGTCTGAGCGTGAGATGTGAGCTAGTTCCCAGCACACAAGTGGCAGCCACATCCCACCTGTGGAGATTGGGGAATTGTCATATAATCCACCAAGAGTAGGCCCAAAGCTGCATTTCAGCATTTGGTGGTGTATTTTAATGCCAGCAGTGTCACCACTAAGATCTCAACCTCAACTGGAAATTCACAGCCCTAATGGGTGAGCTGGGGCACTGGTACTGGTGTTGGCCTTCTGCTGACCCAAAGTTGCTTGCTTAGTTTCAGAGAGAGGTATTTCTTATGCTGAAATTGTCCTGCTGTCATATCAGGGTTTATATTGCACTTGAGAGGCAGCTTGCTTTAACTGTACACTCACAAACATTCCCTTTACGTCTGTGTACCTACGTGTACATCCATTAGCAAACAGCGTTGGAATGGAAGTGGTTTTGTTAAGTGATGAGTGTAGCCTTGTTAAACTCTACAAACAGCAGCAGTTCTCTTGGACCTGTGAGCACACTTTTACAGGCAAGACTAATTCTTCCTTAATTATGTGCGCTTCAGTCTGGTCAGTCTAGCCTGTGCCTTCTGAGGTTTGAGAGATTTTAAAGCATGCAGAGCACTGGTTGGATTTTATCTCAGCGATGGCAGCAGTGTTCACATGGAATTGTGACATGTGTACAACTGCATCATACCCTCAGCTTTTGTGACATGGGCCAGGCATGGAGCTGGGGTAGGCATGGTCCCTTCTCCTACTAAACCTACACTTGGAAATTACCTGTGGCATCTCTGTTTTGCCGGCACTGTTCAGTTTGAATGTTTTCATGTTTTGGGTTTTTTTGTTTGTTTGGTTTGGTTTTTTTGTGTTGCTGACCCTCCCCACAACCATGCCAGTTGCCCCAAGTCCTATCAGGTCAGATGGTCTCCTCTTTGTGTGCCCTGAAATCCATCTTAGGTTTTGTCATGTCGCACTTAAGGATGTTCACTATTTTAAATTAACCTCAGCCAATCTTGGATTTGTTTACCTTCAACGGGTTGGCTTTTACCTGTAGCAAACCCCTCATTTCATTGGTTTTCCCTCTAGGTTTAGGGAATTTGTTTTACGATGTCTTGCAGCATCCTGAGATTTCTGTTAAGATGAGCTCATAAAAATAAATTTCTGTTGCTCTGTATAGACAGGAAAGCTCCGTGAAAGTCATTGCAGAACAAGAGAAAACTCTCGCTCTTCTGTATGTCCTAATTACACTTCATGTGCCTAATCTCCCCACCTGGAAGATGAAGTCAATAAGAGGAGAATAAAACACTAAAAACAAACCAAACAAGGAAAAAAGCAAAGAACTCCGCAAACGAAAACACAGAAAATAAACAAACAAACCAAAAACCCAAGAAAAGAGTGAAGCTTTTTTCTTCAACTGCAGCTGGGGAGGGATTTGCAGTAATGGTGAGCAAGCAGTACAGTCCCCATCCCAAAAGGGATGAGCTTGGAGAATCACAGCCTCACTCGACATTTTATTGAAAACTTGAAGAACTATGAAGTGTCTTTTGGTTTTATTTCTATTATTTGTCTGGCTCCCATAAGGAAGAGCACCTCTGAATGCTTAATGGCTTGTTTTAACTCTTGCCTTCCAGGCTGGAGTGGGCACCACCGCTCCTTTTGAACTATTTCAAAACTAAATGTACCTTGGTGGACTGTTCTGTGCTGGATAACAATTTAAAATAGCAAGTGAAAATTGTTCACTTCACTCTAATTCTTCAGCCTTGTTTTTTGGTTTATTCTTAAAATTGTTTGATTGTCTTTTTTAGTTTTGCTTTTGTTTTAACCCTTTACTTTTTCACAGTTGATTTGCACTTATGGTTTTAGTTCTTCAATGTCAATTGGCTCCTTCCCCTGTCGAGTGTGGATAGCTGCCGCCTTTCTGGTCGTGATCTCATCCTTTTTCTCTCCCTCTTCTAGTTCCCTTGTCCCTGTCTCGTACCTTTGTTGTCAGCAGAACAGAGTTGTTAGCAGCAGGTTCTCCAGGTAAATCTGCATGCTTCTATTTTCACCGTTCTTGTGACTGCCCTGATGCCATAAAAAGTCAGCTGCAGTCTGTATTTGTCTGACCCCTTTGCTCGTTAGGGAGAAGTCCAGCACAGAGTTGTGCCTTGCAGGTAGGTATCCTGAACTTTCATTTATGGTAACTGATAGCAACATGAGAGTCATCAAAATGAGAAGAACTGAAAACACATTAAAGAAAATGTATTTGGTAATGTGTGCTTGTTCTTGTTTCTCATATGTACACTGGTGGAAAATTAGGAGGGGAGATTTTTCAAAGAATGTTTTCTCCCCCAAGCTGAGGCTTAAAAAATTCTGAAGAAAACACATTTGACAGAGGAGAATGTCTGCTGCTTAAACTGCCATAAAAGGAAAACTTATTTAATGAAAGTATTCTGATATTCTCATATGGGTAAATTCTATGTTTTGTATACAGTCTGGCCGTTTCAATTCCTGAAAAGCTTTGAGCTTTCTCTCAGTGAGGTTAATGCTGTGGACTGGCACAATGATCTGCTGAGTGGATGGATTTGCAGTGGAATGTGCAAGAAGGTTGTGGGACCTCCTGTGGGATTTTCTGGTTCCCGTTTTGCTTAAGACCTTTCCTTGCTGAATCACCAAGTTGACTGACACAGAAATCCCTTTGGGGAGTAGAGATCAAGGAGGGAACAAATTGGGCCAAAAAGTGCTCTGAGATGTGGTTGAGTGATTGGAAATTGGGAAGGGTCAAGAACTGAGCTTTGCAGATACTGCATGCAAGGAGTAGTTGAAAAAAATGGAAATGCATCAAGAAAGACTGGAGGAAGAGCAGAATCCTAAAATAGTTTAGACCACAGTGAGCATGTTTCTTCCTTCTGAAGTTTTCTTTTTCAGATGAAATGTCTTTCCCTAGGCCTGAAAGCAAACAAGATAATGATATGCATATTAAAGTTAAACATCTCCTAAAAGTTAATACATTTATCATGCATTTCATCAACTTTCACCATCTGCTTCTTGTATTTTCCCCCTCTGTTTTTTAACTTGTGAAAATTTATTTCACCATCGGTCCTTAAATTAGTCTCATGCACATTCCAAACAAACTACAGGTTATTGCCTTGCAGAGAATTTCTTTCCTGCCCTGTTAAAGTTTCCTGCTGCTAAACTTCAAAGAAGGGGGAGAAATTTAATCCTTCTTTAATTAAAGTACCTGATGACTCTCTTTTAAGCTTGGCAACTTTGATTATCTTTCTTAGCTTGGTTCTTTTGTTTTGCCAGGTCTTCTTTTTTAATTTTTTTTTCCTTTGCTTTGTTACAAATATGTGTATATTTTGTGCGTGCAAGTTGTTTCCAGTATAAATGCTAACCATATTTTCATATATTTCCCCCAACTAAATTTAAAAAATTACAAAAAGTCAATAAGGGAAAATAATAGTGGGAAGAATCTCCTCTGTAAGGAACTGATATGCTAAGCCTGGTCACTGTAGCAGTATGGTACCAGTTTTGATGACACTCAGACCTTCTGTGAGGTCCTTCTGAAAATAATCCCAACCCAAAAATTGTTTAACCCCAGATTCATAAAACAGTTGTATTGGTGTCCATCTTGGGGCTCGTGCTCTTTATCCTCCGTAGAGGAATATGAGGAGTTTGGGAAAACCTGGGTAGAAAAGCTCTGTCCAGATCTGAATGCTGGGGCCTGGCAGGGCACAGTTCTGCAAACATGGACCTGCCTGGTGTTTGTCTGTCTTCTGCTCTTTCTCTACCCTTCTGTATCTCTCCTTCTTTATTGTCTTCTTTTCCCTCCTTGTCTTGAATGTGATCCAGAAGTGATGTCCTTTCCCTCGGATTTTGAGAAATCATACCTTTTGCTTTTGTCCTTTTTTGTCCCCATGTCCTTTTGCTTCACCTGTCCCTTTTTCTTTTTCTTATCTATGCTTTGTCATGTTGCTCCCTGTGCTTCTTTGTTTTTTATTAATAACGTGCCATAAGATCTCTGGTGAAAAGAAAAGGCAGATACAAGTCATGCTAGTGTAAAGTTGTTGCAGATGGAAACCTTTATCCCAGGCAGCAGTGATGCTGTTCTTGTCACACACAGCCATATTTTGTGTATACAGGTGGGAAAGAGGACAAATTCATTCAGCCTTCACAGTTCCTTGTTCTCCAGTGGGAATTTCAGCATCAAGTCCTGTGTACAGGTAGAGTTTTGGCTCCTGGCTGCAGTTACTGCAGCCTGCTGTGGCTTTTGAGTTGGCACGGAGGAGAGCCTTGCAAGGCTCTGAGTGCTTCCCCCTAAGCCCGTCCTTGGTGTTGCCATAGGGACCTGCACTAATCCCATAGTGCAGAAACAGTGGAAAAATTGTCAAGTTGTCAGAACCTGTATTTTTTTGTTCCCTGTTCTAAAATTGAAAGAAAGACAACATCAGAGGGATTATAAGTGGGAAATACAAAGCAGTGCAGTTCTGCCATGCATTTTAAGTGTTAGGTTTAGGAAGGGCTGGATGCAGAGATGTGGAACAGGCCATGTTATTTGGACAAGGAGATACTATATTTCTAGTGATTCGGTGGCAGAGGTAGGATTAAATTTAAGGGAGCTTTTTTTTTAAGACATAAGATTATATATAGAAGTCTTAAAAAAAAGAGTTTGAAAAGCTTGTAAGGATACTGTTGTTGATTTGCTCAAAGAGACTTTGTATTTTAAGATTATACGAAAATGATCTTTCAGCTTGAGAATGGGGGTCATGAGGTGACTAGCATAGTTAACATCAAGTCTCAGTTTGGGCTGGCTGAGTGTTTTAACTGCATTAGGTTCCAAAAATTCACTGGTCCCAAAGACAGTTCTTTGATCAGTATGTACTGTGTGTGCACCCAGGGAAAAGCCCTTATGCAGGAGGGCTTGGAATCTCTCTTAGGATGTATTTCTGCCCTTCTGTCTTCTGGGTCACAATGTGAGTGGAAGCCACAGATGGAGAATTTGGTGTCCTGAAAGCACATTTGCTTTAGATAGACTGTGTACAATCACACTTGCAAGGGACAGCTATGAGGTCTTCAAGTGAAACCCTGAAGTGCCTAAAGGCCAGTGATGGAAATCGATGTCTGCAGTTTACTCCTTTCTGGACACAGATTTTTCTCTGTGGCATGGACTGTTTTGCTGTGTCACTGACTGGCATGTATCACATGGAGCTTGCTGTCTTTCATTGAGGTTTTGCCCCTTCAAGCACTGGGAGGTACTGGAGGAAATGTTGAAGTAATCATCACATGGACTGCGCTCTGGTCCACTGAAGACTCCATCACCCTTACTGAAAATGCCTGCTCTAGCTTAGGGAACAAGGCATGCATAGATACCAGGTGGAATAAAAGGGGGTAAGGCTTACCTGGGACTAACTGTGGATGAAAGCTCTGGTACAGAGCAACGATTATAAATCATTAAGAAAAAAAATGTATTAAGCATGGTCTGACTATCAAGAGCTTCTGTAAGGGAGCCTTGGGAAGTTACCTTTCTCTGGTGGTTTCTGCTCATCAGCTGAAGCGCTGTGTTCTCAGGGCATGTCTGTTGCAGCATAAACAAGTCCAGGTTTGTCTAGGGCATACTCAGTGATGCTGGCTACCAGCTCTGGACTGAAAATGTCCTTTCAGGGCGATTTGGTTGTTAAGCCACATGTCTAGTTATGAGTGGATTAAGCCTTTGCAGTTTATTTGTGCTACATCATGGTTTCTTATGTCCCTTTGAAACTGGTGACTTTAAACTGGTGACTTTTTCTACTTGATTTAAGAAATCTCTCGCTCTTGCCTGTTTCTTAGCTGAAAACAAGTCTCCGCCTCGGCCCTGTGGCTTGAATCACTCAGACTCTTTAAACCGAGGTGATCGCATCGACGCAGTGACACCGACGTTAGGGAGCAGCAACAACCAGCTGAATGCATCCTTCCTTCAAGTGTATGTCCCGGATTACTCAGTGAAAGCGCTCACAGACATTCAGTTTGTCAAGGTAGGAAAAAAGCTAGAAAGACCTTGCTGGAAAGCCGGGCTTGGCTGCTAGGATGGAGAGCCTGGGGAAGGGAATGCCTTCTAAATTGCTCTGTGAGTAAATAGCATTATGAAAGCAGCCATTTAAAAATCACTTTAAACTACTTTTTTCCAGTATCTGCTGTCCAATCATTTGTCTTCAATATTCTTCTCATTTGGGCTTGTAAGTAGATTGGTCATGTAATTTTCTGGATTTCAGGTCCTTCAAGGAAAGATTATAGAAAACAACCTCTCTGCTTTTAGTGGAACATATCCTTGTGAAGCTTTTGGAGCCATCCGAAATGGAGACTCTTCATTATCAGACAGTGTCCTTTTCTAAAGGATGAGACATTTACCACTGGTTGCAGTTTTTATTCACTTCTGGTTTTGGTTTCAGTTTGGGGTTCTTGATCTTACTTTCCGACTTGCCATCCTTCTTCTGCTTGGAGAAGTCTTGGATATTTCTCTTTATCTTAACTTCACATGTATTAGGCTCATGTCTCATACTACCAGTGAGTTGCTGCATGAACACAGCTCTGTCCCCCAGCATGGTGCATCCCACGCTGAAATGTGTGCGAGTCCTGTGGGATAGGAAATCTAGCTGAGCTGAGAAACAGCTAATGCTGGCAGCAATTCCAGCCCCTCTGGGAGTCCGGGGAAGCTGACATCTCATAGCCAGAAGTTGACTTGGATGCTTTTCTTAAATAAGGTGCACCTTCACGGTTTCTTTGTATGCAACTCAAATGATATGTGAACTCAACTTCTGTCAAATTTAATTCAATGTTAAGAATGTGGAATAGGGTAGACATACTGTAATGCTAAATTGATTGTTCCATAGCCAAATTTTAAAAGGAAAGTCTTGCTGTCAAAACTTTGAGATGCAAATGTACTGGTCAATGGTTCAATCCTTCAGGGATTAGATCAGTAGATGTTTATTACTGGGCAAGTGATTCTCACTACAATTTCAATGACTAATCTGCTGTACAGAGGAGCTAGCTGCTCATCCTGTGCTGGTTTATGTCCTTCCAAATCTCACTGTGTTCACACTGAGGCTAGTGAGTGCTAAACTGTCCTGATATCTCTGCAGTCAGACTTGCACACCTCTTCTTGCATCACTCTGCTTTACACATAGGTCAGAGTACTAAACATTAGTGTTTTCACTGTGCCATGTGGTCATTCATTCAGTTAATACCTTGTATAAGCAGGGTTGTGATCTGCTCATGCATGTTTGGATTTTGTTTTTGAATTTGTGACCTGGTCCATCTGACTCTCTCCATTTACAGTCCCTCTCTTGTCTTGCTACTGAAACTTAGGGTTTTTCTAAAAGTCCTGTTTCACCTCTTCCACCTTCCTGCCTGCCGAGATAACCTACTGCTGTTGTGGCACACGGGGCTGCCAGTGCACGTGCATCCTGCTGCCTGTCTTGGCTGGGAAGGTTGATCTGAAGGAGTTCACTGGGCTGATTGTTTGTGACTCCAGGAGGAATTCTCCCCTCCACCACCACATGTGGATGTACAGGGCTGTGGATTTCCTTGCCCCTGGGGCATCATGGGCAGTGACACTCTGTGCTCTAGGCCAGCTCCTGTTATGACTGTTCTGCTGAGTGTAGCCAGCTCTTGCAGAGACCAGTAGAAGACTTCAAGGGTTGCTAATTTGGACTCATCTCTATGGAGACCCCAGTCTTTTATAGAACTGAATATCCTTATATATAAGGCTGTAGCTCCTGCTGTGTTTGCTGGCCTAGACAAGCACAGTAATGCCTGTATGCTCTACTTGTACTATACAGCTGGTTGGGCTCTATAGGGACACTTAGACCCTCACCCGGAGCTCACTGAAGCTGGGAGAAAGACTTCACTGATCTCTGGTTCTGGTCCTAAAAGTGTGCATGGTTAGAGGGAAATGGAGGTCTGATTTAAAAATCTCTGCATAGGAATATAAATCCCCGCCTTTGAACAGCATGGTGATCGCACAGCACTTTGCTTCCACCCTCCCTGGAATTGTCACCATGCTATGGTGTTGAGCTGGGATGCTCTAGGCTTGCAAAGCGCAGGGATGTTTTATAGGAACAGGTAAAGAGGGGTTGAAGTGTGATCATCTGGAAAGGGAGGGCACTTTATTTTCTCGCTGTGTCCCACAGGAGATACAAAAGTGTGACTGACTTTTTTTTGTTCCTTCCCCGTTCTTGGAGCAGATCTCAAGACAGCAGTACCAAAATGCCCTGATGGCATCTCGGATGGACAAAACACCTCAGTCCTCGGACAGTGAAAACACTAAAATCGAACTGACTCTTACGGAGCTGCATGACGGTTTGCCGGATGAGACAGCAAACCTGCTGAACGAGCAGAACTGTGTGACTCACAACAAGCCCAACCACAGTATGCACAGTGAAGGAGCCATCTAGGAGCTGACTCCCCACAACCCACCCATCCCTTCTCCTCAGCAGGACCAGCCCTCGCTCCTTCCTGCCTCCTCCCCAAGTGTGAACACCGTTAGTATGTGCTTGCAACACTGTGCTGCATCCAGTGTTCTGAGACCAAAGACTTTTGCGTCCGTTCTGGGAGCAGAAGAGAAAGAAACAGGAAGAAAGGAGCAAAGAGCAAGAGAGACTAAAGCCCCAAACGTAATTTGGGAATGGTGAGCCACCCTTGAGAACGATGAAAATTCTTCTTGCAAAGTAGAATTATGTTTATTTTTTATCTGTATTTTTGATCCTTTTCAGGTTTTTCCTCCTCAAACACATATGGAGAAGTTTAAAAGCTCCTCCAGTTATTTTTTCAAGAGAGCTCATGTTTTTAAAAAGTATTTTGCAGAGTTTTAAATTGTTTCTGTCCTTCATGAACCTGAAATGGGCTCTATCATGGTTTTGTGAATTGGCTCCAATGTCCTTAGGGCTCTTCTCACCCCTTTCTGGTCCTTTTTGTTGCCCTGTTGAAAAAGTTAGTAACTGGTACTTGTATGTTATTTGTGTCTTAAGAATGAGCGAGCTTAAAGGAACCTCTGGTTTCAGCCACCTGGAGGGCCAAGGCATGAGGATTATTCCATTCTTCCAGTTGAATTTCAGGGAAGGAGCGGTTACTTTGGTATTTAATGATCTTTCAAATTTCAGAAGGTTTCTTTGTAAAACAGGCAAAAGCATTGTTACACTTACAGTTTTGTAACCTCCAAAACCTTTGTCTATGTTGAAGATGATACTGGGGCAAAGGAACTAAGTAGCAAAACTGCAGTCTTGTGAAATGAAAGCTGGGCATAATTTTCCATAGTGAAGTAAGTGGGTGATTTTTCATTGATGTTTCTGACAATTGCATGGTGAAGTAATGTGTGCACCCTGAAATGACAAGGCTTCAGGCACTCCCATGCCATATGCTCTGCACACCATTACTTTGGCCAGAGCAGATGTGCAGCCTTTGCTACATCACAGAATATGCTGAGTTGGAGCAATAGATGAGTATCAGAATGTCAGTCCCTGCGCCCCCTTTAATCTAATATTAACACGAAAGATGCTGCTACAATTACACCAAAAGTACGTGCTCCAGGTGACAGTAAACCTCTGCCAGTGCAACAATGGGCTCTGCTGAGGAGTCAGAACCATCCTCTCCTCTCCAAGAACTGACAAAACTTTCCAGACGCGAGTGTATTGCACTTCAGGGATTCGGAGAGGTTCATTTCCAGGCTGTTTCCAGCCACATTCCTTCCTTTGAGTGGATTTAGTGCATTTCCTTCTCTCTTGTCCCATTTATCAGCCATTTTAGGGATTACCATGGTAGCAGAACAGAGAGCCTCACACCCAGCTGCCACTGGTGCAGGGCATCCTTGGGCAGCAGGAACCACTTCCTTCACACCAAAAATCTGGATGCAGACTGGGTGCAAGCAAGAGGCACCCCATGGCAGTTGTATATCACCCATTCCCCACTCCCACAGATGGACTCTTAAGTCCTCAAATAAAAAAGAAGAAAGTTATCCCCCCAATTCTCTCCCCTTCTAATGCTGTCTCAAACAAAATGTGAACATTGCCCTCTGTATCTGGATTAGTAAATCGGGCGTTGCGGTTTCCCTGTTTCAAGGCCCTGCCGTGGCCCCTGCCTATGTAGCATTTCCCTTCCTTTCTTTACACCTGGATAATCTCTTTGGGAATAACCCAAAGAAGCCCCCAGCCCCAAATGCAACTGCCAGAGCTCTCTGTGCCTGCACACCTGCCCCATCTCTCTTGCTCACGGGCTGGGGAAGGCACTTGCTTCAAGTTCCCGCGGTCCTTCTGTGTGGCTGGAAAGGTGCAATATTCTGTTGCAGGATCTCCCTACAGGAAATTGGAGTGCCTGGTATCAGAGCCAATTGGGTCTGCCTGTGTGTCCCTCCTCCTCTCTTTCGGCTTCAGAAAGCAGCCCTAATTTTGCTGTCCTCCCCTTTGGCAAGGGTTCACTTCTTCCTTGGAGCCACCCATGAGGATGAAGTCCCCAAAAAGGGGCACAGAAATTGCACAGTATCAAACTTGTGCACCCAGTGAGGAGGAAAACAGGGCCCCCAAAACCTTGCTCTCACATTTAGTTTTGTATTAACTTTTTTTGAGTCCTATCTGAAAGCGTTTCCTTAGCCTCCATCCTTGCTCTGATGTGCACCAGCCCACCACTGCTGAGAGCACACGGCTCAGCGTCAGCACGGGCTGACCTGAGTCCTGTGGTTCCCAGAGAGCTGCCAATATTGCACCTTTCTCACAGAGCAAAATGTTGAGATGTTACAGCGTCTGTCCTCGGCGAAGGACTCACCTCGCCAGTTTTTATCTAGTGTTGTGAATGTAAAAGTTTGTCAGAAGTGTTTGACTCGGTGGTGAACTTGAGATGCAGTATCCGTTTTGTCAAACCTGCCAAAGGAGGGAAGGCTCAAGTCAAGGCAGCTCTCTCTGGGATGAGGTTGCTCCCTGGATCTGACTTCTGCTTCTTATGGCAGGTTATGGATTTGTTTCAATGTCTGTTTCCCTTTTTAAAAAAAAAAAAAGAAAAAAAAGAAAAAAAAAAGGAAAAAAAAGCACCAGTTTTTCCAACCAAAGCCATGTGATCCCAAAGCAAATACCTCCTGCTTCTGCCCATGCTGCACTGTTCCAAAATTTGCAGGCAATTTTTTGCATGTCTGTTTTTCATCATTTGTACAGATCCAGTAATGGAAAGTGAAATAATTTCACTTAATTTCCATAAAAATAGTTGATCATAGATGTTTCATATGGAAAATATGTACCTGACCCAGAGGGGTTAGGAGCTGCTACTGCTAATTAGCTTGAAGAATAAAGCATGGTCCTCTCCTTGGAGGGGAAGAAATCCAGTCTCCCTGTTCTCAGGGTATTTACAGTTTTACTGTTTAACAAATGCGAGGGGTTCCTGACCCTCTTGGTGGGCACCATCACAAGCAGAGGAGCCCGGTGCCCTGCTCAGGATCACTTCTGAGCCTCTGGACAGCGTTTGCCAATGCCGGGGCTTGGCTCTCCTGACCGCACTGGAGACGCCACGGCATCTGAGTCTGTGCCCTTGCAGGGGGTGTCCTGCCCGAGCAGATCTACTTTCTCTGCCTTGCTGGTTGCCTGCCTGCATTCCGGGGGACTCAGATGCTGGATGCTGTGCCACAGTGCCATAAGGACATGTGGCCAGTCGGTTGTCACCGCAGCGCAGGGCACCAGCTGGTGGCTTTGGGAATCGTTGGACTTGACCTCAGACCTTGGCCAGGCTTTGACTTGTAGAAAGGATACTGCATCTTCCTATGTCAACTCCTGCTGCTGCCTTTGTTCCCCTCGTCCGTCTGCCTCTGGGTGCAGGCAGCGGGGCGGACAATGGCCTGTCAGTCGGGGGAGGCTGGGAGGGCATCTAGCCATGGTTTCTACTGTCAATACAATTTTGCACAAGAGTTCTTTGAAGTGAGGTTTTCAACACTAATATCTTAAATGCACAACTGTGAATTATAACTTTTACACTCCTGTTGGTTGAATTTCCTTTAAACGAAATGAACCTGAATCTGTTGTAACTATGATTTTTTTTTTAATTCTGTGTATTGCCAAATCTTTGTAAAGAGTGAAGGAATGTTCTTGCTTTCCAGTGAGAATCTTTCTCCGAATGAGACTGACTTTGGTGATGTGGAGATCATATGAAGCACACTGGTTCTGAGAGGAGAGGGGCTCAGGGTGGGCTTAGCAAACCAGCGTCAGCTGCTCTGTGGACCACAAGCTCAGACCCTCCAGAGTTTACAAAGCACTTGTTTTTTTCCCAGCTTGCCCATTTCCTGAAATCCCTGTGCAGCTGAAGGCTGCTGCCCTAGAGGAGGTCTGGATGGGTTATCCCACAGTGGGACGAGGGATGCTGGCAGGGTGTCTGGGCTGGCTGGTGGGCAGGGGCCCTGAGGCTGGCATGGCAGGACAAGGTGCTTCCCCCATCCCGATGCACCAGCAGAGCAAATTCCACTGGGCAGGTCCTTTTCCTGCTCACCGCTTCTGCTCGCAACCTGTAGTCGTGTGTAGTTCCCTCTCATGCAGTTTTTGCCTCCACAAGCTCCTGCTCTGGTCTGGGCAGGAATGGGATGATGCTGAGACCTGATGGGCAGGGCAGCTGGAGCTGGCTGCTCCAGGGGTGCAGTTCTCAGGCCCTATTGGAAGAGAGGTCAGCCACTCATTCACATTGTGCTCACTGGTCTGTTCTTACCCTCTTCTCCTGGACTTACTCCCCTTTTCCTCACTGCAGGGGGCTTTTTTGTTTCGTTTTTAATTTTCCTTCTTTTCTTTAAGTGCCTTTTTGTGTGGGTGGAGCTGGCAAGAGTAGGAGTCTCAGGATATGGCCCTTTGCACTCACCTCAGACCAGGAGAAAGCTCAGGAGGAGCAGGGCGAGTTGCCCCGATGGCCCATGGACATCACCCATTGCTGCTTCTCAGCCTTCAGGGCCCAGCTCAGATGAGGATGAGATTTGTCAGTGGTGGTGTCAGGCTCTGGCTCAAATCTGCTCAAAGAAAACCAAAGAGGTAGCTTTGTGTGAGGGGCTGCTTGGGCAGTGGTGGTGCTTCCTGTGATCTCTGCAGAGCTCAGCCAAGGGGTGTTGGGGTGCAGATCAAAGAGCAGCCCTGTCTCCTCACAAGCATCCTGTATAAGTATCCTACATGATGGAGAACACAGCTGCGTTCTCCAGGACCCCTTGGAACATGCATCTTCCTTGTGCAGAATTACACTCTATAGAAATCATTCCCACATAAAAGTTGTACCATATTTTATACAATATCTAATACACACGTCTGTCATTTTAAAACTAGTACCTGTGTACCAGTTGTCAAGTTATCCAGTCTCTGGATTACCAGTAGAAAACTGGGGCTGAGGGTGGGAAAGGATGCTGCAGAGTACCTCTTGTCATGATGCTAACTTGAGGCTTCATCCCAAAGGTGACCCCCCAGCTTTGGGGGGTTGAGGGGTCCCTGCATTGACACTGTGTGGAGCTGGCACAAGGCAGGAAACCAGCATGTGGTGAAAGGCTCAGTGTGGTACTGCCCTGGGAATGCTGCCCACCCCACTGCCTGGCCCTGCACTGCGGTTCTACACAGACCAAAAGAAGTACCTAGCCCTTGGATACTGAGGATTGGTTTGGCCCAAGGGTGAAATGACAAGCTTAACTAATATGATTGGGCATCTTCATGGCACAGAGGGGAGAGCAGCCTTCATTCTGACTTGCCAGTGGAGAGGACAGGCTCTGCCCCCTGGGCTGGGCTGGGAAGCTGCCCTCATCCCTGTGCTGCTGTTATACTTGGTCCATCAGTTGCAGGTCTCTTGTTGGTGTGATCGCTGTGGTGATATTGGCCTCGCTCCCATGTGAGGATGTTGGATATCCATGGGTTCCTGCAGAGCCCTCTGCTCTGTGTCTTGCCCTTGTCCTTGTGCCAAGCTTCACGCAGAGTTGTGTTGCTCTGTGTTTAGTCTCGTGGCCACATCCTTGAGGCTGTGTCCAGGTGAGGGGATGCTGTTCTTGTGGGTCAAAGGCGGTACAGTTGAGCTTTTCCATCTGTTTGTCTGTATTTGCAGTTCCGTTAGAAGCTGGATGCTGAACCTGGGAAGGCCAGGGTGTTCCCTAGGAGAAAGCCTGGGATGCCAGGTTATCCCAGTGCCCTTCCCTGAGCTGCAGGGATGGGGAGGGGTTGCCGGAAAGTGGCCTCCAACCTGTGGCATGGTACAGTTGGGAGATGGAGTTGTTTCACAGGTTGGTAGCACTGAATACAGTCAAAGTGACGTTTTCTTCTTGTTATCCTGAGGTTAGGCTCTATAGCAGTTCTTCACCTTGAAAATACGGTACTCAAAGCTTCTGGTCTTCTGTCTCCAGCTGAGAAACAGCATTCTCTTCTCAGGTTTTGCTTTTGGGCCCTGTTTTCCTCTGAGCAGGGCTGATCACTGGGATCCCGCAGAGGATGGTACCCTGGCTGCTCTTGCCGCTCCAGTGCAGATTTCTGGCTAAGGAAGTGCTTGGTACTTAATCACCCCCAGCAGCAGATGTTTGGCCAGACTTTACAGAAGTGGCCTGTCACAGAGCCAGGCTGGAGGTTTGTCAGCTGTCATGAGCCTGAAACATGCACGGGCTGCAGGTGTCTCTGCTCCAGAGGTGGATTTGGTGTCTCTGTTGTCTTTTCCTCCTGGAAGCAGTGTGGTAGTCAGTTTGTTCCAGGGTTTGTTGGGGAGAAAGCACTTGTCCCAGCATTTGGTGCTTGGCAAAGCAGTCTAGCATCCCATCTCAACTCTTTGCTGATCACATAGCTTTATAATAGCAGGTGGTGTTTATCCTCTGGGCATCACTGTTGTACCACATCCTTCCAAATCCAAGTGAGAAATTAGTAGGTGTGGGGTGCCTGGGTCATAGGCCTTTAGTTGGAAGTGCCAATATTGAATGCATGTCTTCTGGATTCGCCCAAAGATCACTGTGGGAGGGTGAGGGGCTCCGGGTGAGCTCCTTTGTTCTCAGAAGCGACAGACTGGCTGGGCCTAGGTCAGCTCTAGTGTCATCCCTGCTTTAGAGTCTCAGGTCCCAGCAGGCTGGGCTGGGTTGTCTTGGCCGGCAGGTTTTTACCCAGGGTACATGCTCTGTCCTTCTGCATTGTGCTGGTTTGGATTCATCAGTGTGGCTTCTGCAATGGCTGTGCTTGCATCGGCCGTGGCCATTCCTCTGCTCTTCTCACTGAGGTTTAGTTGAGTGTTCAGGAAGGCGAGGAGGAGGTCCAACAGTCGGGAACAGGCAATACTGCAGCCAACCTGTCTTCATTTCTCATACTAAGGGCAGGAGTTGCTGCTCCAGGGACTCTGCTTTTCTTGGAGACCGCACGGAATTTGGAGAGTGGAAATCCACCAGGACCCCGGCAGCAGTGCTCTGGTCCCATTTGATCCATGTTCTCCCGAGCCATGTAAGGGTGGCTTTACATGCAGTTCAGGGTCAGGCCCTGCTGAGGGACCTCAGAGTTCTTGGCATATTTTTTCTCAAGCAGAGTCAGCCTCGATACCTGAATCACTGGGCAGGCGCCCAGATGCCAAACACGCTGAATCCGAAACTCCAAATACTTGAGATGCATTCCTGGGAGCCATGAGTGGCTGGTGCTTGGCAGCCGGAGGGCTCACACCAAACCTTTCTCCTACAGTCGGGTCCTTCCTGACTGCCCCGAGCCCTGTCCCGGCTGCTGCTGGCTGGGCCTTGATCCCCCTGTTCAGGAGCGTGGTGGCTCTCCCTCCATAGAGCATTTTCATGGCTGTCTAATCCCGCTCAGCCACTCCAGCCGGTTCTTCCCTGTGTCTTACTTGCCATCGTACGTGGTCTTTGCGAATTGTATCATATTGTACATGACTTCGTGTTTCCAGGATTGTAGTATTCTGACTACAGTATTTCCATGTGTGTACATAAACCTGAATAAGCACAACTGAAAACCTGAATGAAGTGTATACGTTTCATATACTGATTGTCATACAAATTAATTTTATAATTATTCCAATTTTGTTGTAGATTTCCAATCTTTCCTATTTATTTTGTACCAGATTTATTTGTATATTTTGTGATTTTGTTTAAAAGCATTTTGTTTATTTCTATTCTTTTTAGATAAATGATGATTTTTTTTTCTGTTGAACATTCCAGTTTATGCATTTTTCCCTCCTCCATGCTCCCCCCTCATATCCAAGGGATGGATTTTGGCTTGCGGGTGGTGGGGCTGATGGTGATCCCGGACCCAAATCTCTGCTACTGGCACATCAACAGTCTTTACTCTCGACTTCAGCTGCCAAGAGCCACAGAGAGGCTGGATCCTGTTCTCTTAAAGCCAGGTGTTGCTCTTCGCTTTGGTGGGTCTGGGCCCATGAGTCCTCAAGCCGGGGAGGGGTGTGCTGGTGGTTTTGCTGATCAGGGGCTGGCTGGGAAGCTGGTGGCAATGGCAAGCAGCTGAATTCCTCTTTCTGAAGTTCCCTCAAGGGTGAGGGTCTTTTTCTTCCAGTAATAAAAACCCCTTATTTACAACCTGCTCTCCACAGATGATGTTTGTTTGTCTGTAAGCGTGGACGCTGTCTGTCCATAGCGCATGTTCCTGCCAGGCAGTGCGTGACCGGGGCTCGCCAGCGAGAGACGTGGCTGGTGATGATGGCGACTCCGTGGGACGGGAGCGGCTGGTGGAGTGAGTCAGTCCATCCCCCTGCACTGGGTGTTGCAGCCTGCTCCCCTTATGTTGCGACTTTGGCAGCAGAGTGTGTGGAGCCTGCACTGACAGAAACTTATTTCTGAGCAGGAGAGTGGGCCCATGCTTAGTTCCTTGCTCAGCATCACTTCCAGCTCACACTGGTGGACAAACAGCCCACCCTTTTCTGTGTGCCAGATACAGCCCTGCTGTGCGCCCATATCATGCTTCTGCCATCCCTCAGTCCCTGTCCTCACAGCTTTTTCGCCCAGCTCTCCCTGCACTGGGCTTTCCTCCAGGTGCAGCTCTTGAGCTGCCAAACCCTGGGTTGGCAAGTTGGGCAGTGGCTGCTCAAGCCTTAGGGGGAATTTTTGCTGCACCCAGTGCAGCTTCTGCCCCTGCTCCTGTGCTTCAGGGTGGCCCCATCCCTCTGGACCTTGCTCCCCAACGTCATATCAGCAGGACAGAGAGTGTGGCAGGCCTTGTGAGGACTTCTGCTCCCCTGTGTGGCATAGGATGGAGGGTGGTGGGATGCTGCAAGCAGGACGTAAGTAGAATTAATGTGGAGGCCAACTTCAGGGCTGGCTCTGGTGTAATAGAGTAGCATGAAGAAGGAGCAGGACAGGAGAGCCCAGGTCTCCTGAAAGGGAGAGTGCAAGAGGCCAGGGAGATGGGATGCGTTTTGGCTGCTCGGGTCCAGGCTACACTGTGGCAGCAGGGCAGGAGCAGTGCCCAAAGCAAAGGCAGCTGTACACAGGGCTCTGTCCTCAAGGCTCCAGTAGCACCTCCCCACACTGCCAGGCTCCACAGCCCAGTGGGCCCCAGGACCAGTCTCCTGGAGGTGAGCACCCTTGGGCAGGGCTGGGGTGGGCTGGTGGCTCTGCACCTACAGAAGTGCCTTATCCATGTTCACCACAGGTGCTGGGGTGTCAGGCCTGAGGTTGGAATAGCTGCTGGTCAGGGACTGGCATGGGGCTTTGCACCCTCCATCATGGTCAGGCATACCCCAATTCTGGGTCTGTGCTTCAGCTGCAGCAGCCTTTGTCCTGCTGAGTGAGGAGGTGGTGTAAAGCAAGAGGAGCTGGGAGCAGGTCTGGTGACTGACCTTGTCAGAAGTACTGGCTGGCAGTGGCCAGCACACAATGTCTGCAGGGCTGTGGCTGAGGGCAGTGAGCCTTGGGCTCCTGTCCCTGGTACAGTTTGCTCCGTGCAGCCCCTGTGAGCCCCCTTGGCCTCTGCAGAGCAGGGCAGGTGGGCGTGTGGGGGTGGGGAAAGGGAGAAATCAGAAATCAGGTCAGTGAGAGCTCAGAGCAGGGGGTGAGGCCTGTCCCCCCTGCGTGCTCACCTTGCTTCCACCAGGCTTTTGCTGCAGGAGAGATCACCACTAGTGGATAAAAGCACGCCTGTTGCTTGGGGTGGGGAACAGGTTGCAGGGAGAGTGGCGGGACAGAGAGGATGGCACAAGGCTGAGTACTGAGCAGCGCCTGAGTGTCCATCACTTTTCCCACCATGAAGTGAGGGTCAAATACTTTCCATTGCTCCAGCCCTGAAGACTCTTCTCCCCATCTCAGTCAGAAATAGCCCTGGGCTGGGAGTGAGCTATTTGTGGTGACTGGTTTGGAAGGAGGAATGCACGGAACCCCCCAGACCTCCCTTCCTGCAGCCACACACCCTCCCCGGCTGCTGAGCTAAGGCTTAAAAAATTCAAGTGGCTATACTTGGAGTAACAAAGTTTAAACATAGCAGAGCCCAGCATGGCCTTTGGTGAAAGGGCTCGGGAACAGCTCCCTCAGACCCTTCCTGCAGCCAGCCTTACTGTGGGTACCTGTCAGCAGCTCTCCAGATCCCAAAATCAAAGTGTCAGGGACTCAGTGCTGGGTTTGGGGTTTTCAGCAATCCCTGAAGAGTCAGTTGTTGATTGCGGCCACCAGCTGCTGCCATTTAGTGTTGCTTTTCTGTTTGGCACTTTAGGCCCTGGTACTGAATATCCTTGTGTGGTGGTGCAGATGGAGAACCTCCTCAGGTGTGGTTGAGTTGACACAAGGAGTTTGTTTGTAGGCGAGGGTTGAGCACAGCAGAGCCCAGAGCTGTCCCGGGCACAGCCTTTGGCCAGGCTGGCCGGTGCTGTAGCCATGGCAGCACTGGCCTTCCCTGGATATTTCTGTCTGTTTAACAGTTTTGCAGCTCCTGGTGGAGCGTGGACCGTGCTGTGCCCTTGTGCCACCCTGCACACACATCATGTATGTGAGGGGTTGGCCCTTTGTGATGCCTGTGGGAAACAGTCCTCAAAGGACACAGTCTTGGAAGTAATGGCAGGGTGGGGATGTTGCCCCTTCTGCCATGGAAAAGGTCCTCCTCACTCTCTGTAGTCAAGCCAGAATGTTTCTCTGCCCTCCCCATGCCTCCCTGGCTGGCGCAGATGGTGATAACAAAAGCCTTGTGCCCCACCAGTGCTTCCTGGGGCTATCTGTGTACCAGGCTTGCCCTTACAGCCAGATCCACAGCCACTGCTTGTCAGCGCTTCACACAACCAATTCCCAGAGATGCTTTCCATCTTCCCCAGTCACCCATCCTGCTGGGATCCCCAGAGACTAGCCCCATCTTTCACCAATTCCAGCACAGCCCTTATCATCTCAGCAACATGCCACAAAGCACCAGGCATTTCTTAGAAACATCATCATTTATTGACTTGAACAACTGCCACTACAGCAGCAGTTTCCTGCTCAGATGTTGGTGGTGTGGTTTTTCTTTTTTTTTATTTTCTCCTAAGGTACTTTAAAATGAAAAAAGAAATTAAATGAGTTTATGGTACTGAAACAACAGTCGAATTCGTTACAAGAGGGCCCTTGTTGTAATCCCTTTGCAGCGAACGGCACAGGCTGGAGTAAAGGAGGCTGCACCCATGACACAGAGGAAAACCACAGGGCACTGCTGCCCAGCTGTGTGCTGGCCCCGTGCCTTCCCTGGACTGCTTTTCGGGCTCAGGTACAAGGACTGCTCACCCATCCCTGGGGACACGCCCAGTCCCCACACAGAAGCCTGCAGCCGTCACCCTCCTTGGCCAGGGACACAGCCTTGCCCACAGCACCCTGTCACGAGGCTCTGCTTGCTCCGCAGCAAGCCAAAGCCAAGGGCAGCTGCCAGCAGGACCGGAGCCTCCTGGCTCTCACTGTGGGGCCAGCCCCATGGCATGTGCTGTTTCCTAGTTTAGGGCAGGCCCATGTGGCCTGCAGCACCCTGGCACAACAGGCTCTTTCACGCCATATGGTGGCTGGGTTTGTCTCTGGGATGCTTCACTTAAAGCTGAGAGGACAGAAAGGTCAGGAGGCAGAAGGAACACAAAGTGAGTAACGTAATGCTAAAGCAGCAGCCTCAAGGTCCTGGGTTAATATTTACTGCTGAAACTGGAGGAGTTGAGAACACAGTGTGCGGCTCAGCTGTTTGAGAAATGCACTGGAAATCATGCATCACATGCTGATGGTGAAAGAGAGCTTGGAAACACTGGGAGAGGGTGACAAGCGTCTGTCTACAAGCTGAAACGTGTACAGTGGTGGATACACTAGAGCTGGAATCCCACTGCCATCCCTGATGGCCGAAGGAGTCAAACCATGTACACAGAAACTCACACCAAGCAGAAGCTAAACTGAATGCTGGAAGCACAGCAACATCCTGACTAACATGGGGAGGGGGGAGTATGTAACCCAAGAGCAAAGGGTTAAGGGCAGCAACCCAATGGGCAGCAGGATTTGGATAATTTTGTCTCCTGCAGGGCCCAGCACATCCCTTCTTTCTCCACAGAGAACGCAACAAATGGCAAAAACCGTTCACAGGACACTGTTCAAATGAAAATCTAATGAAACACATCATGGGAAAGGGAGAAACATGCAGTATCCCTAAATGTAATGGGAGTAGCATGACAGCACGGGCTGGCAGTCCAATCTGAATGCACCACCCTGGCCCAATCCATCAGCTTTCTGAACCGTCTGCAAAACCGAAAACAAGGGTCTCCTCCTAATTAGTGTTAATTTGTTAAAAGTTTCCAAATACTTTCAAAATGTGCCTTTGCAAGAATCACACCCCCAACCCATCACCCCAAGGGCCCCAACAACGGAATCCATTCCTGATCACTGCTAGAGTCATGGTTTATCTTTACTTTGCCTTTTCCATCTTATTCCTCTTCCTCTTCCTCCTCTTCTTCCTCCTCTTCCTCTTCCTCATCATCATCTTCGTCGTGGCAATGTGTGATTTCCTGAGGTGCCTGGGGGAAGAGGTTGGGCGGTTTGATCTCACTGATGGAACGGGTCAGTTGGTGCCGCTTGTAGTCAGAATCTTTAAAATCCACTGAGGTGCGATTGCGTGTGGCCATCGGCGACTCCTTCTCGTTGATGTCGACGTGCGTGTGCTCTACTGTGGACTCGTGTGGCATCTGCACATGTAACAGAGAGAGGAGATGGCAAGGGGTGTCCCAGTCCTAGGGCCCCTCCCTGAGACACATGGAGAGCAGACCCCAGAATGTGATGGTGTATCAAATGCCACCCAGCCCTCCAAAGTGCTGTTGTGTCTTGTGGAAGTGCTAACAAACACAAGCACAGGCACCTTTGGGGGCCTTGCCCACCTCCCTGGGATCTGCAACTCACCAGGACGTGGGCGGCTCTGAAGAGGTAGCTGAAGGGGTAGTAGAGGAGGTTGATGAAGGAGGCTGCATAGAGGTCAGCGTAGCGCATCACCTGGCTGGCAAACAGGGTCTGCCGAGAGCCGCTGCGGAAGAGGCTTCCCATCATCCCATAGCACATATCCATGTCGTGGGTCACTTTCTACAAGGAAAGGGCAGGTTAGATCCTGGGAC